AGTGAGATGAGATAAAAAAACGTTGTGAACTAGCTTAGAAATGTTTATGAACTGTATGGATTTTATTCGTTGTGTCACCATTCGCCACGTTTTGATCTTTGATAAAGTGATTTATATTTACTGATTTACCAGTGTAAATTAATTTCTAAGTTTTGTAAAAAAGACGGCAAATATTGAAATGTTCGTTATGAAAAGGTAGTAGAAAACTACTGGGGAAAAAATTAACAAGAAGTAGCTACAGAAAAAACTGCAGGGGCGTTTTTGTTTACAGAAATAGTAACATCGACAATGAACTGTATTTCGAATAAAAAAACAAATCAATAACGAAAATAATTCTAATTCTTTATAGGCCTGCCAAACATACAGGCTTTACCACACGCTTACTTGTACAAACACGTTCGTAACGAGAAGCAGATAGAAATTCGATTTGTTTGATGTTCTTTAAAAATGTCTGAAGTATTATGTTATCCTAAGTACTTTATTATAGAATCCACAGAATTATATAAATTATTGCCATGTTTTTGAAAGATATAGTCTAAAAAATAATGCTCTATTGGTCATATCGGCTCTCTCTGCCTAGCTCAGCCCTGGACTTTGATTTTGGACCTGGAGTTGCACTAGTTTCACCGAGTCTTTTTCTACACTAGAATTTTTCGGGTATTTGCTTTTGTTTCTGTAACAGTGGCTTTTATAGGTTTTGTCATATCTAAGCGCTACCTCTAGGTTTGACTTGCCTAAGCACTTTATAACAAGTCTCCTTTTCTTGTTGTTTTGTAACTTGTTTCTTATCCCTTGTGATCTTCACTACATACCCCAAGGGGATTTTTCGTGGACCAGGACAGCTACATTATGAAAATTATTTACTCTACTGCGTCCAAATGTTGCCTCGTTGGTTACCAACACAAAAATTAAATTTTCATTATCACTGTTTTGTTCCAACAACCGCTTACAAAGACGAATCCTGGTAGGATGATTGTCCGATGCCAATACTAGTAGACAATTAACGTGATATAGATACAGTTGATTTTTAACTAGAGTTCTCTTAATTTTACAAAGATGTGCATACCTCATGAGAAATCTGTTGATGCTGTTCGTTGGATGTTGATCATTTCTTCCTTAGTTGTGCTCATCTGGCATGTCTTCTCCTGCAGTTCTCTATTATCAGGATTCACTGAACCAGATAAAAAACATCTTTGAGGTCTAGAATTAAGATAGCTATAGATAAAATAATGCTTTTACAGGAATTTGAAGATATTCTCATTAAATTAAAATCGTCTGCACTTGTATCGATGTGCTATTTTGGCAAAAATTATTCTCTCACAAAAAAAACAAAAAAAATTTGAAGACACTAATAATAATGTCCACAAGCTAACACTAACACTTGTATTAATACCAACCCTTCAAAAATTCAAACCAAATCTCTATTAAAATGTGAAAGTGCTATGACCCCGCACTGTCTTTATGAATATGTGGGTTTGGTCAAACTGGCTGAAATTATGGCAAGTATTAGTTTTGTGTTACTGACCACAGTACTGACTCCACAGTACTTGGGTCCGAAATTCAATTATTTCCTACTTCTAGCGGTTTATCAGTTCTGCTGATGATGGCTGCAAAGTAGTATGCGTAGAACGTTGCAATAACAGCAGTAACTTTTGTGAAATGGTTATAGAAAAAATTAATCAATAAATCAATTGGGCAACGCAATTCAGAGCCTATGTTTTAATATGAGATTGTTTGTTCTCTCCCTCCTACTTCCCCATCTTTTGAGTGATGGGGCTCCGGGCTTGGGATCGGTACAGCGGCTAGAACAACTTTTCGAAATCATCCGATTAATTTTTTCTATAAATATTTCACAAAAGTTACTGTTTTTATTGCAACTAATACTATTTTGCAGCCATCATCAGCAGACCGCTATAAGTAGAAAAGAATTGATTTTAGGAACCAAGTACCGTGGGAACTTTTGGTCAGTAACATAAAACCAACAACTTACCACAATTTCAACCAATTTCACAGAGGCCACATTTTCATAAAGACTTTATTTATTTCCGTGCAGTACTGATTGTGAGAATGTATTATTAATACCTAATTAGGCATCAAATATCTCGTATCTTTTTTATGTAAAACTATCATTTCAGTGATTTTTGTGAATCACGTTTTAGCATCAACTACCCGTTAAAATTAAAACCCCATTTTTGAAAATATCCTCTATACATTTGTATTTTTGCCTATAAAGCTATAAATTATACTAAAGTCGAACAGTATTTCTGTCCTGCAGTGGCATGTCGGTAAGACTAGAATGAATATGGATTACATGTAAAATATACAATTTAAAAACTTTAACAGTTACAAATGGAAATATATTTGCACGCATTTCCTTTATGACTGTAAATAAGCAAAATTAAGTAGATTTATATATGTCATAATAAGGCACTTAATTATTTATTCATTAATTAGTAGTGTTATTTACTTTTTGCTGTATTTTAATAAAATATTCCCATTAACAGTATTGACTCAAATATAGAAATAATCCAACTTCGCTGTGGTGGTAATATAGAAGGGTAAAATCATCTCCAATCTCCCGAACCGTTTTAGCGTTCCCTTTCTATCAATAAAAAGGCATGGAATGACATTCTGAAGTGCCAATAATTTTCCTGCTCGGTATAGGCATCATAAAGAATATTGAAGTGCATATTTTTGTGCCAGTTTTTATATTTAGTCTGTCTAGGTTCTCCCCAAATTGCACTCTAATTTTATTTATGAATTTAGGATACATAGCCCTAGAGCTGATTGAGTGAATTTATTGCCATCGCATCGAACGCCAACGCCAATCGCTAATTATGGTTTCTCGTATAATCAGTTATGGGGTATCATCGATTTTCTTTAGTTGTTACTCTACGTATACATATAATTTTATTAAAATAAAACATTTCATATTATCCACAATTCATAGACAATATTATAAAACGGATTTTCTTTTATGATATACAGAGTGTTTCTGAGATAAGTACGTTCCTTGAAAAGGGCGCTAGAGATCAGGAAAATGGCCAACTTTTATTAAGCAACTGATGAAAAGCCCTGTAGTCTATAGTCCTAGCAGTAAAAGAGATATAGCTATTTATGTGAATTATAAACTACATATGGGCGTATTCAGAATCAAATATACATAGGTAATTTTTCTACCTCTTCTTCTTCTTCATCTTTATAGTCTCCACCTTTGGATACTTGACCAGCATGGGCTTAGATTATCCTTCAAAATTGCGTACAATCATAATGAAACGTTATTTACCTTATCAGATTATTTGCATTGTGTTTGATGACAGTTGGGGTAACTGCAATTGTTCCGTATCGTTGAAAATGTTTGCAGGTTTCATTGTTTCACTAACATCGCAGATAATTTTGTACGTCACTTAATGTATTGCACTGTTTACTCAGTTCTGTTCTTTTGGGCTATAAACAATTTAAGATGACCACAATTAAAGATTACCACCAAGATTATCAGTGTTGCAATTCATGTGCTATTGTTTAGTTTATTGTTAATCTCTAAGTGTAAATAACAGAAGTCGGTACAAGCTCAATTTAATAATTTCTATAATCATTACAGGCTTAATTACATATATTGTAAAAAGCAATTTTAAATCATTTTTGTATAATACTTGGTTGTTGTAATACATTGCATAATTTCGATAACTTAAATCTGGTTGTAAATTTGAGAGTTAGAATTAAAGCGAAGGAACTAATCTTGAGTGTAGTGCTGGACCGGTACACTTCGATAACTCTTGTTTGATAAGAAAGTAGTTTCAGCTGCTATATATCTCTTACGAAGGAAATAATAAACATGTACCTAAAGTTTATGTGTTTGGCTTCCCAAGAGATGAAGTAAGTTGTAGTTTCGGTGCCGGTCAATTCTAATAATATTCTGCAATAGTTTAATTTCAGATATTAGAAAATATACTGCAGATTAGACAGCCAGAATCAGAGCGACATGTCATTAACCCACTATCACATGTCTCTAAATTATACAGGGTGATTCACAACTTATCCAAAAAAATTTGGGAATAGAAGCGGCATGAAAAATGGAGTCAGTATCGTAAAAAAAAATTGTAGAATCCTTATAGTTTCCGAGAAAAAATTATTGAAGTTATAGTACTTTCTACCATTACATCGCTGGACAACTGTAGTGTCGTGCGTGGAGAACCCAGTGGCCCCAACGACTCCGAATACTGAAATCTGATTGCGTCATTGCTATAGTATTTACAATAGTTTTTTAGTAGTTAATGTCGAAAATGGCTTACGTGTATAGCAACTTGGAGTTGATGGATATCGTTTCAATTTATGGTGAAGCATGACAACATTTGTGTTATGGTGAACCAAGACAACATTTGTATTAGTTCGTAAGTTGTGTAAAACGGGTCCAAGTATGTTTACACGTCGATGGACAAAATTTTTGAACAGTGGTAATATCAGGTATGTTAAATTATTTTATTACGGAAAACCACAAATTAATTTCATTAATTAATAATAACAATAGCAACAAAAGCAGTTTGCTGATATAAAATAGGAGTTATAAAATTATATTTATTTCTTTCCTTGTGAAATTCTTTCAGGTTTTCGTCCGTTTTTGGATATGAATTTTGAATGAAGTTCTGAATCACTCTGTATATTGTTTATGGCGAAAGGAAATATAGATTAAAGAACAACTAATTTCCCTTAAAAATTTGTTATCTTTGATATTTAAATATTTTTTAAACATGCAGCATAGCTGTTGGTTTATGTTTTCAAACTTTATTATATATTGTAATGGAATAGTTATGTGACTTTGTGTTTGTATGAGCGCCAAATTAAATTTTGAATTTTTGTTTTAGTGTAACATGTAAATTTGATTTTAGTGTGATGTTGGTTGTATACCTTTTCCCTGCTAGCTTTAGACTCTCCTCAGTAGTCGGTTCAAATCAAAATACATATTATTCTTCCGGAAACCATGCACCTTCTCGTCCTTTCAATTATCTTACTCTTTCAACTTCTTTCTGGAGTTCTTCTATTTGTTCTTTTGTTCTTCTTCTTTCCAATTCCATATCATTTCTGTTTCCACTTACTCTATCTTCTACCTGTCGTTTCACTTGTTCAATGTTGTGAGTATTTTCCGCAACGTTTCCTCCAATAGTTCTCATTTCATCTTCCTGTTTCTTCATTGTTTCTTCTATTTCCATCGTTTTATTCGCTACCATTGCTATCTCCTGTTCTGTCTTTTCAATATCTTCTTTTAAATCTTGTTTCCATGTTTGTGTTTCCCGTCGAATTTCTTCCTTGATGGATTGTACTTTTTGTTCAATTACTTTTACCATAGTTTCCATACCTTTTTTTCTTCCTTGTTCAAATTTTTTTAAATCTTCTTTTCTTCCTTGTTCCAATTTTTGTAAATCTTCTTTTCTTCCTTGTGCAAATTTTTGTAAATCTTCTTTTCTTCCTTGTTCCAATTTTTGTAAATCTTCTTTTCTTCCTTGTGCAAATTTTTGTAAATCTTCTTTTCTTCCTTGTTCCAATTTTTGTAAATATTCTTTTCTTCCTTGTTTTATTGTCTCCTCTAGTCTTCTTCTATCCTCCTCTTGTCTCTTTCTATCTTTGTCTTGTCTTTTTCTATCTTCTTCTTGTCTTTTTCTATCTTCTTGTATAGTTTTCATCATATCTTCTAACATATTCTGTATTGACGATTTTCTTCCTCTTCCTGTTGTTGGTCCTGGTTCCATTGTCGTTTCTTGCTCTGATAAAGACTCACTTGATTCTTCTCCAGTTTGTTTTCCACTTCTAAGATCCATTTCTCTAGTATTATTCTTGTATTTACTTTTCTTCTAGCCCCACGTTGGGCGCCAATACTGTAATGGGATAGTTATGTGACTTTGTGTTTGTATGAGCGCCAAATTAAATTTTGAATTTTGTTTTAGTGTAACATGTAAATTTGATTTTAGTGTGATCTTGGTTGTATGCCTTTTTCCCTGCTAGATTTAGACTCTCCTCAGTAGTCGGTTCAAATCAAAATATTCTTCCGGAAACCATGCACAACTAACAACTCTAAATAACAGATGTTATCAATAAATTAATTTATTAATATTTTATTTTGTATATCAATATGTTCCAATTTAGAAATGTCACACAATATCAAATATTTTGAAGTTTTCACAATATCTTGAACACTTTAAACAAGAATTTATTTCGATCTGGCTAATTTCCTGAAATTACTGTATTACTGGTTGCTTTCTATAAGTACTTTAAATTTTCTCGTATAATTTCTTGTTTTAATATGTTACAACTTATTTCCAATCTTAAGATCTAGAAATTTAAAATGCTTGGCCAATTTTTTATGATGCTTTCTATATAGTTGAATTAAATTTGTTTAAAATGAAAATTTTGAATTTCTGAAAACTTTTAATCGAATTTTAAATTTTAATTTGTGTCTACGAAAATAAAAGGTACCTTTTTATACGTCTTATTTGTTTAATTACTTGTCTTTCCTGTCTCAATAGCTTTTTGGACACTGTCTGCTATACCGCTTTCTGACGAATTTCTTGGGACCTGCTACTGCTGTTCCACTTCCACTTTCTCTCTGCTGCTGCTACTACAAGGCCGCTTTATCTATCTGGTTTCTTGAGACTTGCCTGCTGCTGTTCCTCTTTATCTCGGAAACTGCTGTCTTTCCGCTTTCTCTTTGCTGCTGTTGCTGATGTTCCGCTTTCTTTCTGCTGCTACTGCTGGTATTCCGCTCGTGATATATTTGCTTGGTTCACTTTTACACAAATTTTTCTCTGTTCTATATTTGGTTTCTCCTACTTTATTACTTTAATACTCTCTCGATCACTGCTTCTCTTTTCTCTCGTTTGTTAATATATTTCTACAACGTCTGAGTCTTTTACAAAATTTTTCGTAACTAATCAATAATTAATTCCTTTTTTCCTTTCCAACTACCTTGATTTTTGTTTCACCCTTTTTAAGGCCTTTCCACATATCTGATTTTGCTTTTTTTTCGTGCCGTTTTTCTTTTTCACTCACATCATTTCACTTAAACCTTTGCACTTATACCCTATTCTAGTTTCTTTACAATCACATTTAAATTCTCCTTCAAAATATTTCTCATTCTATACTCTTATTTGACTTTTCTATATACTACTTTATTCCTTGTGGATCCCACTTTAATTTTGACATTTCTGTGACATATTCTTTTTATTGATATACAACTTTTTCTTTAAACCTTAATATCTTTTCCTAATTAGTATTTTACCTTATATTATAACTATTTATGAACACTCTGATATTTTAACTTTTATTAGATATCTGTCACTTATGAATTTTAATTAATTTCAGTTATGTTTTCTAATAACTTCTTGGCATATGCTCTATCTGACCAAAATTATAATTATTTTTATATTTGAATTTTGAAATTTATCCTATTCTAATAATCCGATGATTCCTAATACTTATTCAATACTAACAATTTTTTTTTCTATCAAATATTTTCTTAATTTTATAATAACCATTTCACCCATTCTCTTTACCGCTTTGTCTTTAAATAGAAATTTAATTTAAATTTTAATTTGCTCTCTCACATCTGATTTCATCTCAATATATATAGTAAAAATATATCAAGGAAATCGCGATAAAAGACTTATTTTTCGATTCGCAACTTCGTTTAAAATGGAAATCAATTAAAACATACATTTCTGTCTCGAATTCGACTAAGTAAATGGTATACATACTTACTGTTTTATAAAATATTTTGAGAAAACGAAAAACGGCAAGCCGAAACCAAAATTGGATAACTAATACAAAACAAAATGATAAGAATGTTTGTTTTTCATAGAAAATCAAATAAAAAGTTTGACAGATAGCAACAAAAACACAAAAAGTTGTATTAAAAAAAGACGCATTTAGAGGCTAACAACAGCATGTACTTCATCAGAATCTTCCAAACATTCTCAACACAGTAAATACATCGTTTCAATAAAGATTGTATTTATGAACCTAAAAAATAAAAAATAAACAAATTTTACTGACAGCAAGCGTACAATTTTTTAATAATAATCGAGGAACTTTTGTATAAAAGTAACTGTAAGGGCAGTATTTATGCAAGAAAAATAGTTGTCAAAGTTTGGGTTAATGAGAAGTGAAAGCAAAATGCAATAAACCGAAACTAAAAAACTAAAAGTAATAAGAAAAGTTGAATATCGACGAAACTTTTAGACCTCAAGGTATTTTTAATATAAACCTACAATTTGTCGTATAATACGGAATTCTAGAAAAATCCTTGATAGTGTTAAGTAAAAAATGTGTAGGAGAGAGAAAGCTCACGTTAAGTAAAAAATCTAAAAGAATATCTCCAACGTTAGCTGTCAAAAACCAAACCATTTAATTGAATTGCAAGGGAAAGGTAGGCAGTTAACAAAACACCCAGAAGAAAATTTGGACATCACGTTTCCAGTACTACTGGACAGGAAGGAATCTACTCGATGGTGCAAATAAGTGAAGGTAAATCAAGACACCGGGCGGGTCAAAGAACATTGGAAGTAAACAACTAAACGGACTAGAGGCTTATAACAGTGGGTTAGTTAAGATTGAATGAATGCAAAAATTGGTTTAGGTTTTTAGCTAGAGTTTGGGGAAATTAGGTTTTCTTTGAAACGTAACGTTTTCTTTGAATAAAATATATCGGAAAAATATCGTAAAAAAATAATAATTTAAAATCAGTTCAAGAAGTGGAAGTTAAATTCAACTTAGACTATAATTTGTCTGTTTTCGTTTCTGAGAATGTGAGAGATATTCAGGAAAAAACTAAGTAAGTAATGTAAAAGGATTAACTTTTTGATAGGAGTAGAACGACTTATGTTTCAATACATTATATTTTTCTTATGAAATATAATATGAAGCTTAATTTTATGTTTAGACAAAATATGTAATAAGATACATATCATTCATATAACATAATAATCAATAGAAGAATTTATAGCTATTTATTTGAAAATCCTATTAACAGTATTTGATAAATCAATAACGTTAACGGATTTATCTTAACGTAACGTTATTAGGGGTTCTAAAACTCTCTTTAATTTTATAGGCAGTTTTACTGCAACGATTTCGCAGAAATCTATCACAGGAAGATCTCCTCCACTTAGGATAAAACCCCATAGAAACAAAAAAAACTTATTCTCAAGTATTCTCAACTGATTCGTGCGTACTCGTGTCTAATAACTACTAGACATGTCCAAAGCGGTACGGGGTGCAAAGGCAAGTCACGTTTGCAAGAGGACGGCATCAAAATGATTAAAGAAAGGTATTTTCAAACCCTTCTTGGAAATTACGTGTCAAAGTAAAACTTGCTAGTAAGTATGTACTTTCTTAAACTTTTCTTGTTTAAGTTCATTTTCATTCTGATTATAATAATTTTTTTATTATACATGTAGCCAGTATATTGTTATACTAAATATCACAGAGCGAAATGTGCCAACCAAAAAAAGTTTTTAGAAACCATACTATAATAAAGCAGGAACTCAAGTCACAACAACTAATCGTACTTGCTAAATGTGCCTGTCTATACTATTGATTCAAGAATTTATATACGACACATAACTATTTTGATAAAAAAAAATCCACAAAAATTCGGTTAGTCTGAAGTTGTGAAGAAATTGTTTTTCACAAAACTAATAGCCTTGACTCTTTCAACTAATACAATATAAAACAAGTTTACTGTTTGCGCAGGTCCGAAAACTCCAAATTTTTACAGGTGGATAGCTATCCATCAAAACCAAATAACTCCAGAAAGGATGATCAAATCTAAATAAATTCCACACAATTCCATATATCATGAGTTGCAATGATGTCATAGAGTTCTTTCCTCAGTCACACATGTTCCCCTAAAATAAAATTTTCCGTTTATTTACTTTATTAAAAAGACGTCAAAGAAGCAAAAGAGAGATTTTTATCCAAATCTCGATAAGCTGCATCGTTTTAATAAGATTTACTTTATTACACTGTAAAACTAAATTCACTCAATTTCACTACATTTTACTTAATAATGTATCAATTTCTGTCCACATCTGATTTAAGTGAAATATTCACTCTGTTGGTATGAGTAGCAACAAAAATGAACGAATGTTACTCAAATGTAAGAGTATGTAAATTAAAAGTTGACTTTTTCTCTAAATTTAACTATTATTGAGTAATTTTTTACTCACACTATATTCTCATTAAATTTTAATTTAAATATCATTGTATTAAAATCGTAAACTTGGTACTAGGTTGCCACAGCGGTTTCTATACAGATTATGTTTTAGAGACAATAATATTTTACCTCTCGGTTAAAGGAATTGGTTAACTGATCGGACGAATAGATTGCCATAACCTATATTGTAAGTTACAGATATGTAAGTACGTCTAGGTAACAATTAACAATCTAACTGTTCGTTTATTTTACCAAATATTAATCGACAGTTGTTTTTTGTTTATTTGTTATTTGTTTCTAATTATTGTAATTAAACCACTGCATTTAAACACCACACCACGAGGTGACCTAATGGGGACGATGGGAATAAACAAAGACAACGCACGACAACCATACAATGGGGTGGGGTTGCTCAATGATGAGGACATTTACTCCGATTTAGGTACAAATGTACCAAATACGAGTTTATCTGGAGAATTTATTTAACGGGTACCTATATTTGAATGGAAATATTCAGTTTTATATCGCAAATGAGTAAAATTATCAAAATGCTCAATATTGGATGAAAATGTACTCAATCATTTCACTCAATGGATTTACTCCGTACCG